CACACATAATTCAACCCAATCACCATAAAACCTAGTTGTAAAAAATCATGATTAAAGTTGCTTAGATACACTAGCAAGAATGCAGCTTCTTGCTTGAATGTAGTTGTTTATTTTGTAGTTGTAGTGGTGAAGTTAAGAGTCCTGGAGAGAGTAAAAAACATAGGAGATTACACATGACTTCAACATAAAGCAATCCAAACTGAAATTGTATCCCCTCTATTTGTAGGGAACGAGCTAGAGACCACCTATTATTCTGATGTTAATTAGAGGAAGTTCATCATAGTGATTAACATAAACTAAAAGGAGATTCATTGATCGTTGGAATAATCAAGTATTTTTCTTCTTTGTCTTGATCGAGGCATTTGGGTTGAGAGTCATGAAGCAGGACATGGATAGAATGCTAAAGGATAAATGCTTTGAGTTTTTCTTTAGCACACATTGGAGGAAGAAAAGCATAGAGTTTGATGAAATGATTTTAGCTTTCCCAAGAGGGCTGCATTTAAAGACCTGAATTGTTAGGATTCATAGCACATGTTAGTGACAAGGTTTTGAAAATCGAACCAAACAACAACAACAAAGCCTTAATCCCACTGCGCGGGGTCAACTAAATGAATCCTTTTTCTCCATTGCGTCCTATTTAGTGTCATATTTTCATTTAGTTCTAATAAATTAAGATCATTTTTTTATACAATAAGCCCAAGTCTTCCTAGGTCTACCGCTACCTTTCTTAACATAAGTCGAATCTAAAACAGCTACTCTCCTAAATGGATCATCAGATGGTCAACATTTAATGTGACCAAATCATCTAAGACAACTTTCTCTAATTTTGTCCGTGACAAGAGCTACACCAACTCTATCACAGATATATTCATTTCACATTTTGTCTCTAAGTGTAAAGCCACTCATCGACCTAATCAATCTCATCTCGGCAGCACTTAACTTAGTATTATGCTTCTCTTTTAAAGGCAAACATTCAGCGCCTTGCATGTCTCACCACCGTCTTATAAAATTTTCCTTTCAGTCTAAGCGATACTTTTCTATCACAAAGGCCTGAAGCATTCCTCCACTTCAACCAACTTCTCACCAAAAGGAGAAAATATTCGAAGTTCAGAGGTTAAGCTGGGGTTTAACCATTTAATATAATAAATATTAAAATTATATAAATATGACTTAATATTGTATAATAACTATATAACATGTCTATTAAATTTATTTAAATTAAAAAATAATATAAATTTATAAATATAAATAAGCTTATGATGTGTTTTATAAATTATTGCAATGATGTGTTTTATAAATTATTGCAACCCAATTCTCACAGCCCAACCCAATTTCCACACACTGGCACAACCTAGTTTTCAAAGCCTAGCCCAATTCTTCATTCTTATAGTATTTCACATAACTCATTTAATCTCACATAATGGGGGAGAGTTAACACTTTAAACTTTAAATTGGAAAAGAAGAGAAGCTTGTAGCTCACTCTGTTGGTGAGAATTTTGGTAGTAATTTGCATGTTGATTTAATTTTTATATCATGTATGAGAATTTATGAAATAATTAAAAGTCAAATATTGTGATTTAAGCTTACTAAACTTATTTAGAACCAATTTGATCTTTGTAATGCCAAATGAAAGTGCAAACATTAAACTGTGCATTGTTTTACAAAATTTGAATGAACCGAATGGTTCTTTCAAACCAAAACTGTTTCAGCAGTCGAACTGCCGGTTCGTGGTGGTTTCGAACGGTTGTTGTATGAACCAAAAGTGGACTTATGACCGGTTCATGGTTGAATCAATTGAAATGACCGTCCGGTCCAATTTTCAAAACTATGGCTTGTACTCTAGCAGATTAATCATGGTAAAAATAGCCAGCAGAAACAACTCAATGAACTTTACATCCCTTAGTTGTGTCTTCAATGTTGCATTGTATAAAATTGTTCTTTCTCATGGAAGTAATCAGGTTGAATTCTACAAGCAATCAGGCTTATAATTTAGTTACCATTAATTTTTTAACAAAGATGAACCATATTTTCAATTATATCTATGGCATTGTCGATAGGAGTTTTAAGTAAAAGTTTTCATTGTTTTGCATGGCTGTCACCGAAGGTATTTTCTTAAAGGCTTAGTATTTGTATATCCTTGAGAGGTCTTGTCTTAACCCAAGGCTGAGTGCAATGGTGAATGGTTGTATGCTTGTGGTCAATAATGGTGATGTTCTTCATTTGCATTAATATTGATGGTAAAACAATAGTTTTCTATTAGAAATAAAGCTTAGAAATCCAGAATCCTAAAAAATTTGTATTGGATTAAACTTGAATGAATTCAATTATAGATGAAAACCAATAACAAGAATTTAAAAGAAGGCAGAAGGAAAGAACTCGCCAAATCAACTTTTTGCTACAAGGATAGAACCTCGAAAAAATATTGTCATCTACTTGAATAAGAGTAGACCATATGGATTATTACATTCAAATAAATGTTTATGCAGAAATAATTTGACCAATGTTTAATAAGCCTAAGGTCCCTATTTATAATCAAATATTTTTTTTAATATCCTCATCCATTAATCAAAACAAACCAAAAAAGTTGTTTACAATTCTAGTACTAAGAGGAGGAATGCACTCTTCTTACATGATTGTAGTTAGAAATTTTGGAAGCCGAGGTTCTGAAGAGATAAACAACAGCTCAGGAAGTTACGGAAGGCTTTTACATAGCACAATCAAGGCAGAAATTGTCTCCCCATATTTTGCAGGGTGTAATCTTAAGACGACATATTATAGTGATGCTAATTGGAGGATGTTCATTGAAGCAGCTAACATTAACTAAAAAGAGATTCATCAATCATAATAATAAAGTATTTTTCATGCCGAGCATGGCCTTCTTTGAGATCCAGTTGGATTGACAGTCCTGAAGAAGGACATGGATATAATATTTAAAGATAAAGGCTTTTGAGTTTTTCTTTAGCACACATTACCAAGAGGTTGAAGAAATGATGGTAGTTTCCATAAGAAGGCTGCATTTAAAGGATTTCGAATTATTATGATTAGTGTCATGTGTTAGTAACCTAGTGGAATGTTTATAATGCACTTAGCCATCAGAAACAACTTAGGGAATTTTATGGGCCCTAATGTTCCCTGAGCGAGTTGTCTCAAGTAAATTCCTAACCACTAATGTCACATCAATCAAAGTAAATTCCTAACCACTAATGTCACATCAATCAAATTTCATATCTATGTGGACATGCATATGACATAATCACATCAAGAGGATTCAGCATGATATTGGCGTTCATCAGTGAGGAATGATTTCAAGCAATTTTGCAGCAATAGAGTTGGACCTTTCAAAACTATTCCACCCTGTCACTCCACTGAAGCAAGGAGATAGTGTGGGGATATAATTTGTCCCAGATCATGTGAAAGGGAATATTCAGCCCAAATCGCTTCCTATAGTTGGCTGAGATGGTAATCTTAGCATACTTCGGTTTTCCTTTCCTAGTTCTTCCTCAAGGTAGTTACACATTCATACATCAGAGGTGGAGGTCACTTCATTGGTGGCCGAATGATTGGCGATCATATAGCGGTGGAGACCCCAAGGGAAGGCATACTTCATAAGGCTGATGTTTGGCAAAAACAATTTGACACTGAAATCAATATCACTTCTCTTTCTGCTTTTAAACAAGTTTTTCTTTTTTTTTTTGCTCATAGAGAATGTAACAAAGCAGCTCATTTTTGTGCTTAGCTTACTTTAAATATGTCTTTTGAGTGAGATGCTCACTCGCGCGACCCCATCTTTTTGAATGTGGTGGAGGCTAATGTCCTCCGCCACACTGGCCCTTTTGTGTAGCTTTTATTGCACCTTTTTCTTTTTTGATTAATGCAAAATGCACACTTTCAAGGAAGGTATGCTTCATAGGTTGTAAATCTCCTAACCTAAGAAGAGTGGAACTGCGTCTCACTAGGTTTCTTTCCCATCCCCTAACTACAATTAACTCGGTGTTCTCTGGCATTTATTGGGTCCATGTCTTCTTTTCCTCTTAAAAGGTATTTAGCTAATTCAGCAGTATGGGATAAATATGTAGAGAGAATCCATCTGTTAGGATAAATGTGTCATATAGGATGTAATGTTAAAGAGTAAATTCTCTAGTCTGGAAAGCAACATTCAGGCTCCAACTCAATAATTAAACCCTAGTTTTTGGGGTTATATGGTAATGTGTTTGTATCCTTTGCTGATTAAATCGGGATATCTCTATGTAAAACCTAAAGGTGGATGGATGCTCCTAAACTTTAGGGGCTGAATTAGCTTTCCAGTAATTGATTAACAAAATCATAACTAGCATGTATCAAACCTCAAGTTTATACATGTGTCAAAAATTCTACCCCATGAAATACTAATAAAAAAAAGTAGTTTTAACCCATTTTCAAATAAAAAAACAGATTTTATTGATTTATATTGTAAGGTTTTATTAAACGTTGACCATCTGATGACCCAATTATGAGAGTAGATGTTTTAGATTCTACTTATGTTAAGAAAGGCATGGGTAGACCTAGGAAGACTTGGGCTTATTGTATAAAAAATGATCTTAATTTATTAGAACTAAATGAAAATATGACACTAAATAGGACACAATGGAGAAAAATGATTCATTTATCCAACCTCGTGTTGTGGGATGAGGCTTTGTTGTTGTTGTTGTGGTGCGCGATGCATAGGAATACACAAAGAACCATATATAAGTAATGAATTTCAGACTACTGAGTTTTAAATTTTCGAGCATTTACTTACCTCACAATTGGTATGAATTTACACATCTAACCCCTAAACTTTCATATTTACATGCATAATTCTTTAAGCTTTAACATCACATCAAAAACACTATTATTACCAACTTTTTAAAAAGTACTGTACATATTTCATGCATAGGTTTATGACCACCAAACTATTACAAATGTAAATATGAAAGTTCAATTGTGTAATATATTTGTAAATTTTTATTTTTGTTCTTCAGTGGAGGATGGAAAAGAACAATTCCGGGCTATTTTCTGTGTGCCTGAAGCTCTATCCCGGACGCTATGAGGTAACTGTCTCAACCCTACTGTTTATTATGAACCAGACATGATCACTTGTCCACGCTTACGCTGATTCTTCGCGCAGATCAAATTCATTGTTGATGGTGTTTGGGCCATCGATCCGATTCGTCCTATTTCCGACAATAATGGCTTTAAGAACAATCTTCTTTTTGTCAGCTAAGTGCATGACATTGGTGCTTGTAATTGAAATTTTGTGGATTGATTAGTTAAATCATTCAAATTTAGTTTTATTATTATTTATTTATCAGTAAGAAGCTCTTTTTGTTACCACTGTATTGTATCTTTTTTCTTCTTGATTTATATCATGTATCAACCTAAGCATGTGCCATGAAATCCTTCAACACTCCCCAAACATTTGAATTTGATTTTCTTTTAGTGGGCATTTGCATGCATATAATTTTTATGCTTTTACATATCTGATTCCTCAGTTTTTAGGTTACATTTGTGACTTTGGTGTCATAAACCGGAATGGGCTCGACTCTAAATCGAATAACAAGCTAATTTTGAGCCGCACTAAATCTATTCGAGCATATTTCAATTTGAGTTGGGGTCGGCTTGAAATCAACAGCTCTCAACCGCAGCGTGATGTGCACAACCACTATCCATATTATATTAAAATAAAAAAGAAAAATTTTAATGTGTTGTTTGAGTGCTCATCTTTCTCACAAAAAAATTAGGAAAAATAAAAAACAAAAAGCTCTCTAATAAGATGATCTTGCACTTAATATGCAAATATTATATTTGATGAGCCTGTTATTGGAATGGATGGGAAAATATGATGATCTATTAAATTTGTGACATTACAATGTTCGTGAGGAAAAAATATTCCATATGGACAGCGTATGTAGAAATACATACGCTGTCCGATCTATATCATTCAACAGTTTTTTTTTCTTAAATAAAAAATAAATTGAGGCCCATCAAAATACATCTTTGCTTTGATGGACGGTGGAGATCGTACATCATATGTAATTTTGCATTCGAATCTCAATGACACGCTTATAGTATTTCAGGAGTTGTTAGATGGCACTAAAATGTGCCACATTTTTCCTTATAAAAATGATACGAGTTATTAAAAAAAAATGTTGATTCTACAATAAGTATCGAGTTTAAGTGGTTAAAATTTACATAAATAAGGACTAAGAAAAATTAAAATTAATGTGTGTCAAATACATGTATAATCTGTGGTATGTAAAATAATTAACATATCTCATGAACAATGTGATGATTAAAATCATTTAAATTTAATTTATCTTAGATGTTAAATTCAGAATTTCAAAAATAACCTTATGATGGCGTTACGTAATAACTATAGTTAATGAATGAGTAAGAACTAATAAAATTTATGATGCAAATATGGTGGTTTGTGGTCTCTCTCCACCGTCAATTGGGGCTGTGAATTTAGCTTGAAGAACGTTAGTTGTTTAAAAATTGATTTGAGTGTTGGCTTGAATTGAGATCGGATCGAAATAAATGAACTAAGCTATGAGCCGAAATTTTGTCTAAATTTTCTTTCGGGCCAATTTCGGGTTGTACATAGATCCGCTCAAATTGACTCGAGATTGGCTCGTAGTATTTTTTTTTTTGGTTTAATATATATATATATAATGCAAAGTAAAATCGAATATAACGAACCACAAACACTTTTGAGCTAATTTCAAGCTTTAACATATCAAAATAACTTAATTTAAGCCAGTCAGTTTCAATTTTGAGTTGAATCAAGCCGGTGCCGAGCTAAACGGATAAAAAAAACTCAAATTGAATATGAAAAAGGTGTAAGATTTTGCTATTAATAAAATTATTTATCATTTTTTTAATGAATGATAAATTAATAAAAATACTTATGAAGATAAAAATAAATAAATTTTTTCAACTGCTAATTAAATTCTTTCCCAAAACCTAAATTTTGCCTATACTATTTTGGATTATAAAGTAAATTTATATATTTTCTGATATAAAATATTTCCCTATATAAAGATGCTGGTTCAAAAAGAAAAATTGACTTTATAAGCCTCATAATAGGATGAACTAAAAAAACATTCCTTTTATTTATTTTTTTGGAAAACATCATTAGGGGGCGTTGAATTAAATTTTCAAATACTTGAGAGGAACAATCAATATAACACTTTGCTTTACAAGTGTTGAGATTAATCTACATGGATACGTAGAATCAGCTTCGACGGGAGATCTTAATAGTAGAAGTACATGTTATACATTCATTTGTGGGAGTCGGCTACATGAATCCTTTTTCTCCATTGCGTCTTATTTAGTGTCATATTTTCATTTAGTTACTAATAAATTAAGATCATTTTTTATACAATAAACCCAAGTCTCCCGAGGTCTACCTCTGCCTTTCTTAACATTTTCCTAGAAGGATAAAATTTAATTATAAAAATTATGCCTTCAACACTTATCAGCCAATTCAAACCTATCAATTAATGCTTTCATGCCCATTGGAATCTAATATTAAGGTTATAATGAAAGAGTATAAATGGAAAAAATAGAGACAAAAACATAAATAACAATATATATATATATATAGAAACATTTCAATAATTCCAGTTCTAAAGCTTGGATACGCCTATGATGAGAGCTTCATGCACTACATGCTATAAATTTTTTTGTGACCTTCAATGTAAAATAGAGCACAATTCATTGTATCCAAATCATAATTGATTCTAAACTTCAATAGGGTCACATTCCAATACAACAAAAATGTCTTCCTTTTTTTTTGGTTCAATCAAACAAAAACATTGCCATAGGCAATTGTATTATGTCATCTTGTCTTTTTCAAAATTATTCCTTCCTTAAAATCCACCCAAGTTTTCAGTGATGCAACCATCAATCTTATCATCACTGACTTTCTTAACTTGAATTTTCCAACATTCTTTCTTTTTTGCCCCATAAAATGAAGGCAATTGTCATTTTTAATACTAACTCATACACTACAACCTCGCCAATCATGATCAAAACATATTTCACTCAACATCAACAAACTAAAAAAAGCTAACCATATACAAATATTGAATGCATCAGAATGTTTCGCAACCCTATATTTGCTAAAGTGTATGTACCATAGCAATCAAATTTTAATAACATCAACCAAAGAATAAAGCAATTATTTTTATAATATAAAGACAAAAATCACCAACATGATGCAGAAAAATCAAATTCAGAAAACAGGATACAAAACATCCACACCATTACAAGTTAAAGGCAGGTAGATTGAAACCATTAATTGCCTTAAAAACTTACAATTATAGCAATTACATAGTAAGATATTTTCGAGAAGTCGCCATCAGGTCAGGCTATGAATTGTTCAACCTTGCTCTGGAGTTCCTCCTTCTTCGCACCGACAACTCTCGCCACCTCCTTTCCACCTTTCACAAGCACAAAGGTAGGCATCGCCTGAACCCTCCATTGCTGGGACACCTCCTGATCCATTTTAAGATTTCAATCACCCAGAAAACCCTAACCCTAAATCCTAAATCGCGAGAAAAGCTCCAACGAGAGTAACAGAATTGGGAAAGGGAAAACGCACTGATAGCTCGTCGACATCAATTTTGACGAATGAAGCTTCGTTGAATCGGGAAGCCAGGGCCTTGAAGTTCGGCTCGATGAATCGGCACGGCCCGCACCAAGTCGCAGAGAAATCGATCACCAGCTTCAGATCAAAGAAGGAGGTGAGAGGAGAAGAAAAGGAAAGGGATTTTGCGCGGCGAATTGTTTAGTGAGGGGTAGGAGAGGGGGCATAGAAAGCTTACGAGTTTGTTGGAGTTTTTATGGGCTGTCCAGTGTTCGTTCCAGGATTCTTTGGAGTGGACGGCAACGACGGCGGAACCTTCTTCCTCGGCTGCAGCGGCGGCCGCGGGATTCAGCAAGGTGGAGAAGAAAGATCCCATCTTTGATGTTTCTTCCTTTCCTCCTTTGATCGGCTATGGAGCCAGTGAGAACTTATTGGCTCTCTGTTGTTGGTGATTTGTTGGAGGAGGACGATGATTTTGTGAGAATTTTGAAAAAGAATTATTGATCTATTAATTTTGATTAAAATTTTACGGGAGAAAATGAAAATGGTGCATGTGTAGGTTAGCATGGGCACACGTTAAGAACGGTGACGTGCACCAATATTTTTTTATCAACTAGCACGTATTTTAAGATATAATATGGATCTCGAGATAATTGCTTCAAAGTTTTGATTTGAGTAAACTTATAATAAAACCGACCGGTTCGACGAGATGGACTCAAAGATACAAAAATTGGTTCCGTCTGAGTTGAATTAAGTCAAGATCAAGTCATTTAATTACATGACCAACTACGACCTACGTGATTCACAATTTGTGCAATCACCCACTCTGTTCGTTGCTGCCTACGGATGTTAGCACAACTCACCACCGTAGCCTACGTGATCGACTTCGTTCTATGTGGTTCACAGCTCTTGCAGCACCCGACTTTGGCTCCTGCGGCCCACAGACGCCTTCACAGCTCACCACCATGGTACGTGCTGATTTCAACCTATGTGATTCACAGCTCGTGTGACTCTGAACTCCAACCCTCCGCATCCTACAAACGTCGTCACAACTCACTAACATGGCCTACATGCGTTGTCACAACTCACTACCACGATCTACGTGACCGACTTCGGCCTATGTGATTCACAGCTCGTACAACACGAACTTCAGCCCCCACGACCTACTGACATTAATATTTCTTTTTATAAATTCTACACAAATTCTTTGTTTTTGCCGTCCTAACCATAAAGCGGTGATAATGCCCCACTTAAAAAAAGAGGGCGGCGGGCGGGCGAGCACAATTACATACAAACAACTCGAAAAAATCAACCACTCTCAGACATCCAATTATTATAATTCATGGTAAATCATCAGCCCATATTTTCATTTTTAATCAAATTCTCAATATCTTGATCTTAACACGCGTAAATATATCGGCTTGATAGTTCAAAAAAAACTCACATAAATGATGAATTTATAAATATCAATGTTTTGAAAATTATTAAAAAATAAAATAAAAATAATAAAGAAAAGCTGGGCTTTGTTTGAAAATGTCACGTGCCCAACTCAAAAGCGGGCTTGGGCCATAGCTGGAGAATTTGATTCATTCTACTTCAATGGGATTTTGACCAAATTTAATCACACTATCAATTATACAAAAGAAAGCTTTCTAGTGCATATACATACATACCACACAATTCTTATATATTTACATATTAATACCTAAAGTTTCATATTTGCATATACATAACTCTAATCTTTAGTACAATATAAAAAAAAAAATACAATTATTAACTTTCTATTCATATATAGATTTATGAAACCAAGCGTTATGAATACAAATATGTCGGCATGAATATAGAGACAATCCAACAGTTAAACCCGACGACTGTGAACAGAAGGATCCACCCAACCCCAGACCATGAAGAAGCTCGTATACTCAAATTGAAGATCGATCAACTAAAAGGCAAGATGATCGGCTTAAAGCTGACCTGTCAGACTGTTATGCAATACCCTATACACTACAACTGGTAGTATTGTACCAAATAGACTAACCTACACCAACTAGTGTATTTGACAGACATGTAATGTACTAAAGTAACCATCGCAAAAATTATGGATTAAAGGGCATACATGTAATCTTAACTCCATGCCCCCTAGGTCTATAAATAGGGAGACATTTTTCGAATAAAGATTATTCGCTTTTTAATGTTCATTTCTGCCTTTCTCCCTCATGGAAAACTTTAGATTCAACAGATATGTAAATAAACAGAAATTGTGTGATATATAAAGTAAATTTTTCAAAAAAAAAAAAATGCAATAATGTCCCTTATATTTTTATTTTGGCAAGATACACCAAAATACTTTTCATAAAAAACCTTGTAATGGGTATAAAATTTTATATTCACAGAGTGCTTATTAGTGAAAGTCCCTTGAAAAATTTGTGCCTATTTAAGATTTACTAATAATAAAATATATTAAATAATAAAAAAATTAAAAACATTCGAATAAATTCACTTCTGCATAGGATTGTGAATGAGCCGAGTTGGGCCAAGCTTACCTTAGGCTGAACTCAGCTAAATCGTATTACAAGTTATTTATGTTCGATTCGAGTTCGAGCCAAAATTTGACTGTACTTAGCTTGTTTAATTTTTTTAATCAATCATATTTGAATTAAATTTTTAAAAGCTAAGAACTAGAATTAGTACATCACATTTTATGTAAAATTATTAACAAATAATTTTAAAATTTTAAATAAATAAATAATTGGAAAAAAATTGAATTATGAATTGCATATAAAATTTTCTTGTGATTAAACAATATAAATAAGTGCTCACAAACTAATTCATTGAAATATAAAAATGAAATTAAATTAATTTAAATTAAATTAATATAATTAATTAAACTTTATTTAAAAAATATATAGTTATCATCAACAATAATATTGCGCATGTAACAAATTGTATGCCATAGTCTTATAAATCTATAAATCCGACTTAGGTTGTATGTGATAGATGAATATGAATGAGTTTTGTCCCTTCAAATTTCTTTATCATTTCTTTTTTCAGATAATTACACACAACCCACCTGAAACAACCACTGATTTTTTTGAACTACCTTTTGAATCCTCACCAGGCCTTCGGATCGTGCCCAAGTAATGGAGTTGGATTTCGGGAAAAGGAGAAAGAGAGGAGTTGGCCAATCGAGATGACAGGTTGTCTACCTTTTCTATGGCTAGCCTATAGTGGCTGGATGGCTAGGGTGACCGGCCAAATAATGCTCTATGTGGTTGGTCAGGCATGGTGGCCGGTCGGCTAAGTTGGTTGGCCAAGTGCTTCTCCACCTGGTCGGCTCAAGAGGACGACTGAGGTGACCGGTCGAGTTGTTCTTCGTGTGTCCTGTAGATCTTCATATGGTAGGCCTAGGTGGTCAGCCAATTGAACTCCATATGGCCGGCCGATCGGTGGTTGCGTAATGGGATGTCCTACAGTGAGTGATAGAGCAAAGAGGTCGGTCGGCTGTAAATTACATGGCTGGCCCGGATGGCCGACCGACAAGTGATGGATGGCCAGGATGGCCGATAGAATAGATGGCGACGCTTGTAAGTGCTAGTGACAGCTCCGACGAAAATGTCTTTGACGGTGGTGGCCCCCTTGGCTCGACGATTAGTCTATTTTTAGGATATACATGAAGCCCTTGAGTTTTTCACTTTTTGGAGGTGAAGCTGCAATAAAAATGAAAAACTCATTAGTGCAAAAAAAAAAATCATTTTGTAAGTCTCTAGTTGGACTTAAACTTGTAACAATCCTCTTCCTAGCCTTTAATGAATAAGTTTTTTTGGAAAAATAATAATCAACTATTGTCAACTCAAGCTTGTTCCTTACCCATCTCTCTTACCCTTGTCGAAACATCATCTCCGGTGGGCCTCACTTTACATCAGGTCTTAGGCAGTATTCTCGCTGCCTTCGTGAGGGTAATCGATGCGACTCGTCAGTGGAGTGATTTGTGTTGTACCCCCTACAGAATTTATCGCTTCGGGACAGAGAACCGCCTCCATAACTTCTTCAGATTAAGCTTCGAGATGGGTTTTTGAAAATTTCTTGAGGTCGAGAGAGCTGTTTTGTTTGCTCATCCGAGATGAAAGACTTAAATCAAGAGAGAAATTTTGCTTGTCCCGGAGGAGAGACTTAGATCGAGAGTGATAACTAGCTTGTTTGTTCCGGAGGAGAGGCCTAAAATGAGAGAGTTTATGATCAAGCTTTCTTTTTAGATTTTAGATAAAAAACTTTTCCCAACCCAAGCACAATTCTTGCCCATCTCTCCTACCCTTGTAGGAACATTGCCTCAGGCGGGCCTAACCTTATGCCAGTTCTTAGGCGATACTGCGATGTCTTTGGGAGAGTAACCAACAAGACTCATTAGTGGGGTGATTTGCATCATAGCCCTTACAGATTTTGTCGTTTCAGGGCAGAGAACCACCTTCATAGCTTCTTATGAATCGAGTTTCGAGATGGGTTTTTGGAGATTTCTTGAGGTCGAGCGAAGGGTTTTGTTTGCTCATCCAGGAAGAGGGACTTAAATCAAGAGAGATAATTTGCTCGTCTTGGAGGAGAGAAGCTTAGAGAGAGAGAGTGTGTGTGAGCTTATTTTATATTTTCTTTTGGAAAGCTCTCCTAAGGGAGAGACTCAAAATGAAGGGAGAGAAGTTTGTATTACTAATGAAGAGAGAGATTTAATATTTTACTTTTCTTAGAATTTTTCTCTTTTCATCTTTAATGAACAATAAATAAAGGGAGAGGAGGTGTTTATGATCCTTTTTTTGTTTTTCTAAAGAGATCTTTTTTCTCTTGGAATATGAGATGAGTTATTTTTCCTTGTCTTTTTCTTATTGTCTTTTTTTTCTTTTTGTCTTGACATCTACTTTATGTCTTGTCACCTTTTATTTTGTCTTTTCACTTTTCCGGTTTTTTTATCTTCTTCTTTCCTTGCTTCTTCTTTTCCTTTTTTTTTAATTTCTTGTTTCTTTGTCATTTGGCTTTCTCCAAACCAGAAAACATCTTTTCGTCTGGTTAGCGGCATGCCCCACGCTCGCCGCAACTTTAGGATGTCGAATCCGAATGTCTTTCAGATCGTGTGAGAAGAGGGGGGTGGTTGTGGGCGTCAGACAAAGAGAGGGCGACACAAGAGAGGTTACGATGTGAGCCTTGCCTTATAAGAGCAGCATGGGGTAATTTGGTTCATATCCATCTCCGCTAGCATCGGGCGGTCGACTGGATGGCAGTGCTTATAGGCGTTGGTGACAACTTGGTCGATGATGTCTTTGACAGTGGCGGCTCCCTTGGCTTGATGAGCAGCCTGTTTTTAGGATATACACTATCGATCCGATGTATTTTTGAGGATTTGATAAAAATGAAAAATATGAGTTTGGGTTTTATCATTAATTTTGACATTTTAATGGAAATTTGAAATATGAAAGAGAGCAGATGATTTGTAAATATCAAGTTTCAGGCGATCTATATGTAATTTCCCCTTACTTTTTATGTTGGACTAAAGAGGAACCTAATAACAACACAACCAAAAATTTGGTCAGGATGGGTCTCAAACTCTTTTATCTGCTTTTGCCATGCGTACAATACACAAATAATTAATACTGCACTAATGAATATCCAACTATAACTCTTTTCTAATAACACCTCCCTGGAAACAGAAGTAAAAAGTGTGAAAATATATCATTATAGAAAAAAACGGGCCTAATAAGATGGTAGAGCTGACAATATTGCTTTACTCTAATTTTTTGCAGAAATATAGGCATAATACATCATGCAAGTTTCCAAAGTAACTATAGCATCAAAATAGGCCAAAAACTATACAAAATTACCTCAATGAACAGCTAAAGAAAGAGGCTCTCAACTGTACACGAAATCAAATTCTGATTTAGGTCCGCGATCAATCTGTCTCGATGAAGCAATGTGACGCCTGACGGCAAGTTCATTCGTCTCAAATATGAATCTCAGGTCTTTAATCTGCAAGCAGGATAAATACAAACTTTTAGATATGTAAGAAAACCGAGTTCACACATGTATGTCTCAGCATTATTAATGTTGGAGAAATTCAAACACCAGTATTTTTAAGCCTTAGTTTTGAGGGATAATTATATGCATAACACCCAAAACATTGCTATTTGCAAAATCTAGCACCGAGGTGATATTTTTGAACTACTAAACCGATGTATGCGTGCCACGATCAAACCATTTTGAATTTGATAAAAATGAAAAATATGGGTTGGTTTTATCATGAATTTTGATATGTGAGTGAGAATTTGAAGATGATGAATGAATGAAAGAGGGTGCTAGACTCAAAAATAGCAATGTTTGGAGTGCTATCTATGTAATTGTCCCTTGTTTTTATCCTCTAATTAAACAAAATTTCAACATTTAGATTATCTTATAACTCCAAACATCAATAAAAAAAATGAATGGCATATAAGTAGGGTTACACATATATAAATTGTTAATTATTTCAAAAATCACTAAAAACAATGACGGTAAATATTTACTCCAGATATCTGGTAATTAGGGAAATAATGAAATTTTGTTGCAGCAATGGAAAAAACAAATGCCAATCATTTCAATGAACAAATAAAGCGAGATAGAACTATTCCTCACCTCAATCAAAGCACAGGAGCACAAATTAATACGCTTCTTCACTGGCACTTCCTTACCATTAACAAAAATGGAGCTTTTGCCAATGTTTTTGAGATGAAAACATCCATCTTCATCCATCTTAATAATTGCCTATACAACACAATAGAAGTGCAATCAAAGAACTATATATATTACAGCAAATGATCAATGGAGTATTGACAGAAGATACACTAAAAAGCAGCTTCGAAGTCTTCGAAAGATTTAAAGATGCGTATCTTTTAAGCACATTAGATTTTGTGCCGATTAGACAAAAGCAGAATGATCGTTTAAAAAGGATTCGATGACATGACAAGGTTGACAATATTTAGAGGAAACTGAGTTATGATGCAATCTTAAGAAAGTGAGTTTATAACTCTCCTTTAACCAAACACACAACTTCCCTTGGGGTTCTCAACAACTAAGCTATCCTACTAATACTTTAGACCCTTTCCCAATCACTAAGATGAGATGTGCAGAATCATGGCTCAGAAAGATCATGTTATGAAACGAAAAGAAATATTGATACCCTACAGCAGAGAGTTTGAGCAAATTTCAATGAAGAAAATATAAATTTATTTTGCGTGTGAATTTTAGTAAAAAGAAGCATGATAACTCAAGACATCCGAGAAAAAAATATTGAACACATGTATACAACAGATAGATACACAGAAAAATGAAGACTTCATTCAACATATAGAAGCTTTGAGCAAGATTTTCATAATTTTCACCAGTTATTCTAGACGAACCAGACATCCTCATGCTGCCAAAATGATCACTAATTATTCACTATTCATTATTTGACGAAGATTCCAGAAGTCTAAATATGCACCTGACGTCTGGATATCTTATTAGCGCGTCCTTCTTTTGCCAGGTCAATGTCAACTTTTATTTCTTCTGTTTCCCTTCCAAGCAACACCTGAAAGTTTAAGTCAATTACGAAATACATTTAGGACTCATTTGGTTGCTTGTAGACAAAATATTATTTGCAAAATGATTATTTCATCCGTGTGCATATTAATTTTGAAGTTTGGAGCAATGCATAAGATGTTGACTTTACTTCATTTTCATTAATGATTGGTTCTCTGACTTAAGATTACTTAAAAGATTTAAAATACAAGGAATCACTATGCCTGCAATCCAGAACATATAAAAAGAGCTAGCTAACATTTTGTGAAGTAAACTAGCATAGAATTGAATCCAACTACAGAACAAAGTAGCCTCAGTACTAGCAGATGCAAAAATAAAGAGCGTATTCAACAAAAAGATATAATTACATCAGACTTGACTAATTGAGAAGTTAAAACTACCCTAGGATTTCTAGGTTGCAAAGCTTATGAATAAGTCCATTAAATCCATTGTAAAAGTTGGCATAAAATATTAGTCACTACCCAAGCTAAGTTAAAAAACAAAGGCGGTGTAGTTCATGGCAGATCAATCCAGACCATGTTTGACTTCCATGTATATTATAAATCACATTCAATGACCTGTAAAAATAAAAGTAATTGGTGCAGTGAAAATTCATTATGAAAGTCAGCCAATACAGAGAGCATGCAATTGTGTCGAGTTTGGAGTGTGAAGCGAGAAACTAGACACTATACCCCATAAGCATGCCTGTTCACAAACATTGAACAAGTTCTGGGAGCGTTCTTACAAAATAAGGATAGCCAGTGCATCAGGCTCATAAGTAATGGCATCAAAAGAAAATCATAGGTGAAGTATTAACATCAGTTTTTGAGTCACTTGGCGTTGGCACTTAAAAGATTAATTGTAGCACTTCAGTAAAACTGTCAAAAAAACTCGTCACTCGAAAACAACTCATTTTCGGCTCGCTTAATAGCGTGGGTTTGATTCGTTCTTTAAACAAATAAACCAAACGCAAATAAAATTTTTAATCTTAGTTTATGAACGAGCCGATCACAAACAACTTTTTGTTCAATAGTATTCAGATCATTTTGTCTTGAATTCATTAAATAATACATAAATAATATGTAAACGTTAAAATACTGGTATCTTTGATATGATATCAAAGATTTGGTTTGTAAAAATGGAAAATATAAAATTTAGGCATTAGAGATGTAAATCCACTAGAATTGGGTGGTATGTATGTGAATGCCCATGTTTAGATATCTAAATATATAAGAAATGGTTGTTATGTATGTAAATGCCTGAAAAAATTCCACTCGCCTCAGCATCACTGCCTTTCATTTAGATGATATGAAAACATATAAGATACGGATGGTATGGATGTAAATGCCCGAAAAAAAACTCCACAGGCATACCCGCTGCACATTAAGATGTTATATATGTAAATATATAAGAAAAGGGTAGTATGCATGGAAATGCCCAAGAAAATCCGTCTCTCCCATAAAAATATTCCACCCATATTAGCATGTTTTTAATATATTAAGGGATTGTTTGGAACAGCTTTTTTTTCTTGTTTTCTATTTTTTATTTTTGTTTTAAAAAAAATAAACCAAAAAACATGTTTGTTTTAATGTTTTTATTGCTTTCTTGTTTTACTTTTAAAAATTTTCGTTTCTTGTTTCAAAAACAAGGAGACAAGTAAAACTTATTTTTAGTGTTTTGAAGATAGCTTCTCCTAATTGAATCCCCAATCCCAACCCCGAGCGATGCCTTCTTTGATGCCGATGCCAATTCCTTCTTCAATGTTAATTCCTACTCTGACGGCGGCAGAGAGCATCTCCATGTTGGCGGAGGCCAAAAGCTTCCGTCGCAGCTCCCCCGCTGCCAACTCCTCTCATCAGAACAAACCCTCATGCTGCACTCTCCACTCAAAAAACCCTCTCCCGCCATCTCTCTCTCTTGCCCCAACAGTACCATTGCCAGCGGCCAAGCTCGCCATTACCCATACCAGAAAACCTACTTGTTCTTCTTCCTCTCAACCGAAACCCACCTCCAACTTACTCCCAACAACCTTCTCTCCACACAGAAAAAAAAAATCCTTCTCCCAAATTGAAAGCCCCACTCGATTCCTTCCACGCATGACGCTCTGCTCCAGCTTGACACCAACCAGACGACTCCTAAAAGGTAAAACAAGAAGAAATTGGGTTTAAGATTGTGGGATTTGAAGTTCTCTTTTGACTTTTTGATGTGATTTAAATTGAATCCTGCTCCAATTTTGTTTGATTTTGCTTCAAAACAATCCTTCATTCTAGATTTTTTAAATGAGAGAGGAATGAGATTTGAGATTCAGTTGGGGGAGCTACGACGAGAAAATTGTGACGTGTGCGTTTTGTTCTTCTAAACATGTTTTTTTTATTTTTTGGTTTTTAAAAACATAAAAATTATAACGATGTCAAGCCTATTTTGCTTTATGTTAAAACAAAAAAAAAGGAAAAAAAACAAACTCAAAAAAAAAAAAGAAAAAAAAAAGTGATCCCAAACAGCCCCTAAAATCATATGATAGTGGCCACCTCAAATACGACAGTGTTTATTAAAGGTAGGAAGGCGGCATTTAGATCTCTCATGCCGTGGAAATGAACATGCCAATGACTCTTCTTTGTTGACCGCTGCTTGTGACCCAAGGGACCATGCATTCTATAATCTCATGCATTTTAGTCCCACAACGGGAAGACGAAAAGTTAGTTGTGAGATAAGCTTTAAAAAAGAAAAATTAAGAATTTTTAATGCAAGAAAAATTTCAGTGTTGCGGGGTGCAAAGCATCTGAATCGTATTCGATAAAAATAATTAATTTTTTAAATTTAATAAAAAATGTTTTAATTAATCACTTTTTTTAGCCCAATAAGCAAGTGAGTTAAATTCATATCAAACACAAGCTTAACTTGAATGAATGAGTTTGAATTGAGCTGAAAAAAAAAAAGCTATTTACGAGCCATTTCAAACAATAGTCGAACACAAACAAAAAAAAAAAAAATGAACGAGCTCAGCACGAACAAGCCTTGGGCTCGCTCAAGCTTGACTTGTTTACCCCACTTAATTCATTTTTTTTTCCTCTCTAAAAAGTTCTCTATTTCAGTTTCTCTTAACAGCCCCAAATCACCAGTTTGAGAGACAAATTAAAACTAAACAGGCTCTCAAAGTTTATTAACATCAGCTAGGTATCAAATTAGTGACTCATGTTCATTCTTGAATAATCCCCTATTCATACTCCCACCATCCAAGAAATAGTCCTAAAACTCTACACTGACAGAGAATCATCCTTCCCGACACATCCGATCATCATTCCAAATCCAAAGTTCCTTGTGTTTCTTTTCTTTTTATTGGCACCTTGAACCGATAAAATAAAAAGAGGAATGAACAAATTAAAAGATATAAAGAAGCGAAAAATCATAAGGAAAGAAATGGGAGAAAAATACAAGACATTTGCTAACCAACACCACACATTATCACTCCTATCATGGTGCCATCCATTATGCACTAATGCCCTTTGAAATCCTCAAAAGATTAATTATTTTCTAAGGGGCTTCCACATTCCAATACCACATGGCTTATTGGAGATCATACAAAATGCTTTGATCCCGATATACTCTCCACAAAAAAAGTTCTTATGCAGCAAAACTTATATGGCGCCACCCCTTCATTTTCATTAAGGGACTCCTATCCCTCATCCTACGTCAAATTGAGCTGAACTCAGCATGTCATCAATGAAGTTTGAAAGACCTAAGAATATATCGAAAATTTGGAGCTTGTTGCTAAAATTTCAAGTTGACACAGCTTTCTATGGCATATATCTTAATACTAACAATCTCAACGTTAATATCTTTTTTTAAGGTAATCAAATTTAATAAAAATAATATAAGACTTGGTCCCATCTCCAAAAATCCCACTTCTACTGGCCACAAGTGACAAAAATTTAAACGCCTCTGCACAGCAACAAACTTCAATTAATTTTCCATATTAACTTCAAGCTAACACTAAAACCGTAGCTCATAAGAAACTGACATGGAAGAGTATTGCAGAAAAGGGAGAGGGGATACACATTGTCTGGCAGTACATCTTATGACATTAAGATTGTTATATTCTACCAACCTTTTTCTACTTCTTAAGTTCTAATAGTCATCATGTCCATTCACAAACATAAGCCTTTTCGCTATTGCAACTACATAATTTATATTACAGAAGCAGAACTAAAAATATAAATAAAGAGCATTTCTTATTGAGAAAAAACACACATAACATATTAGCAAAAATTCAAAAAGGTCACAGACAAATTCTAGAGAAGTCAAAAAAAAAAAAAATGATACCATAATTACCTCGGGACTTTTGATGAAGTACTTCAAATTGCGGCCATAAAAAATTGCAAAAGCACCATGTGATGAAATGGCTCTATTCATATAAGAACGGGCACCTTGTTCCAACCTAATAATGGTCTTCTTGGTGTCCACGCATTGGTACCTTGATACTAATAAATTAAAAATAACAAATCATTGAACATAAATCATAGCATTCATACAGCGTTAATACTTAACAAAGATAAATATATTTGTACTTGTACATGCATACAAATAATAAGGGAAATTGTTGTTCGGTCCTTATTATATTCCCCATATTTTTAAAACCTAGTAGTTTGGCTAGCTGCCCAGAAGGCAAATTGCTGTCAACTCATTAGAGTCCTTGTGCTGTCAAAATTGAATTAATGATTCACCCTCCCTCTCCCTCCCTCCTCTAATCCACTCCATCGTGGTGTCACCCTTCCCTCTCCCTTCTGAATTGGCTGCAGGACTCTCTGCCTCTCCCTCAGCTCTTTCCCATCTCATTCCAAAGTGGACTCATGCCACCTTTCCCTTCCACAATGGCTGCTACAGTATCGTGAACCCTTTTTTTTCCTATTTGATTCCTTACCCTTTCTATCGCTTTCGTTGCCCACCTCTCTTTCCTAAGGGCTCAAGAGTTACATTACGAGAACCTGCATATATATATCAAGGTTCAACTTATGATGTGCCAAGACAGGATGCATATTTATTATATCAATAAGTGTCGTGGAAGAACAACGCCTATATGATCGACCTCCCAAGAGATTGCAATATCTCTGCTACCATTAATGTGGCAGACTTGAATTTGGGCTACAAGAAATCAAAAACTTCGACGAATGAAGTCAAAGCTCGCCCAACCCTGGGAGATTGACGCGAGAGCCTGGGTCGTGGTACTGTAGCTGCTACAATACCGCAGACCCTTTTTTTTCCTATTTGATTCCTTACCCTTTCTATCACTTTCCTTGCTCACCTCTCTTTCATATCCTAGCATTTGCCTATTATATTACCTTTCCTTTTTATTTTCTTTCCTTTCCTATGACCTTCTATTCCTATTTGATAACTTCTATTACATATATGTGTTGCATGTTGTTGACCTCATTTTTAGTGAGGTCTAGTCTTCCTCTTAGGGTTTAGGATCTAGTCTTAGAGATCTCTCTTCGACTATCTTAGAACCTTAGAAATGTGACCCGCCTCGTTCTAGAAATTCAACCTTTTTCTGTACTCTTTCGTGGTTTCGCGTGTGTGGTATCAGTTTCTAGCACTTAGAAGGATGAAACCAACATGAGGAAACCCAAAAGGAATTCCTATAGGACCTTTTGAGTCTTAAGGTGGCCTTTTGCACAATTCGCAATCCCGCGCACAAAACTTCGCAATTCGGAGAGTCGACACGTCTGATCGCCACAACTCGCATTGCTTGCATTGTTACTTGTCGAAGACTCGAATAAACTTCTTGAGACGATCGATCACGGGTCGAAATTTTGTGGAATTTGAATTTTGACGCGTTTTTGACCCGATTGTCGATGACGTCGTCCGAGCGACCCCGAATGACAAAACGGACTGCACCGGCACGTCCGGAGCATCGATTTTGCCAAGGGAGGACACCCATTTTGTTACAACGCCGCGCGTGAATAAATCGCATATAATTTTTTTATATATATATACAATAAGCCCAAGTC